GGGGGGGGGGGAGGCTGCGGGACACGGACCCCGCCCGGCGCCGCCGTCCCCGCACCCCCGGAGCCCCCGCCCCGCACTCACCCCTCGGCGGCTTCGGGCGTCCATGGGGCCGGGCCGGGGGCGCCGGGGCGGCCGTTCCCGTGCCGGGGGGAGGCTCGGTCCCCGTTACCGCCGCCCCGGCCCCGCAGCCTTTGTGCGGCGCGCCCGCGGCGCGGGGGGGAGCGCGGGGGGCACCGGGCCGAGAGCCCGGCACCGGCAGCGGCCCGGCGGGGCTGCTCTGACCCCGGACACTCCGCCGCCCCCGTTAACCCTCCGGGAGCCGAGCGCCGCCGTTACCGGGGAAACCCCCGGGGCCCCGCAGCCATCCCGCGGGGGAGGGGCGGCGCCGGCCCACCGCCCGCCCCGCGCCGCCCGGGGGGGCGACAGCCCGCGGCCACCACTGGCCCCGGCACCGACACCTGCACCGACATCAGCACCGGCACCAACAGCGGCACCTGGACCGGCACCGGCACCACCACGGCATCTGGACCGACACCAGCTCTGCCACCAGCACCTGGACTGGCACCGGCACCAGCACTAACATCGGAGCCTGGACCGACACCGACACCGGCAATGACACCGGCACCTGCTCCAGCTCCGTGCTCTCACGGGCACCTGCTGCTGTCCCTGCACCTGCCTCAGCACCTGCACCGACATTAGCATCACCAACCGCACCGGTACCAGCACCAGCAACCACATCGGCACCGGCACCGGCACCTGGACCCACACCGGTACCGGCACCAGCAACTGCTCCAGCACCACAGCGGTGCCGGTACTAACACTGGCACCTGTACCGACACCGGCACCAGCGCAGGCTGTGGTGCCTCACTGAGCCCCGGGACAGCACAGCCCACGGTGTCACAGCCCACGGTGTCACAGCCCACGGTGTCACAGCCCACGGTGTCACAGCCCCCCGGTGTCACAGCCCCACAGCCCCTCCATCTCTGGGGTTCCCCCCCAGCCCTGCTCTGGCCCCCCAGTCAGTGGATGCTGAGGTCACTGAAGGGCTCAGCCCCGTTCTCTGGGGATTTTTGGGTGCGGGGGACCCCAGCCCGGGGAGCTCAGTGGAGCAGGGCTGGGCCGGGCTGGGATGCTGAGATGCTGAAGTGAAGCCCACCCTGAGAGCCAGGCTGCTGCAGGCCTGGGTCTCCAGAACCCCCTCGCTGCCACCCCGGGTGCTGAGGGACCAGGGGGCAGCGGGAGGTGCCCAGCCGGGGGCTGCCCCACTCTGTCCGTGGGGCGATCCCCAGCCCCACCCTGCCCCGGCTCAGCTCCAGAACTGCGGCCCCCCAGGCACCGAGAGCCCCCCAGGGCGGGGGTCCTGCCCCCCAGAGCCCCCTCGCTGGGCCCCGGGAGCCGGGGGGCCGCTGCGGGCGCGTCGGCCGCGCTGATGGATGGGGCTCCCTGGGGTCTCGTGGGAGCGGCGGGGCCGGGGGCTTTGTCTGCTGCCAGAGACGCTGCCGGGAATTTGCATCTGCCAGGGCCTGGCTGGCTCCGCACCGTCCTGCGGCAGCTCTGCAGCATCTTCCCGCACCCTCCCGCACGGCTCCGCAGCCTGGCGCTGCCGGCACCCCGCACCCAGCGCGGGGCCGAGCCCCCCCCCGGTACCCCGGGCACCCCAGAGCACCCACAGAGCCCTGCCAGGCAGAACGTGGCACGGGGAGAGGATGCGGATTTTGCAGAACACCCACTCGCGTCACCTCCCTGCCCCGGGGCCGCCGGCAGCTCGCCCGGCACGCTCCGCAGCCACAGGTACCGGGCTCGGGGTGGCACGGGCGCCCCGGGCACAGGAGCCCGGCGCGGGGCACCGAGCAGGGAGCGGGCGGCTGGAATGCACAGCCTCAGATCCCAGGAGCTGGGTGGGTTCCTGCGCGGCCTCGGCTTTGTGTGCGCCGGGGCCGGCATGAATGGGCCTTTCAGTTTGTGCCGTCATGTGTGCCCAGGGAGCCCGTGTGCCGGCCAGGCCCAGAACAAAAGGAGCCGGCGAGGAGGGGGCGAGGAGGGGGCGAGCGGCAGCCCCCGGTGATCTGCCACCGCTGCGGCTCCGTGCCCGGGCAGGGGACACAGGGGACACAGGGACAGGGGGACAGCAGGGACGGGGAGCACAGGGAGCACAGGGGGACACCCCGTGTCCAGCTCTGCATCCCTCACATCCCCGGTGTTTGGCCGCTCTCCCCGTGCCCAGGCAGCAGTGCCACGAGCTGTGGCTGAGCCTGGTGCAGGTGGTGGCCCTGTGGCCAGCAGGGCTCCAAGGCCCTGGTACCACGGAGCTCCAAAGCAGCAGCAATGTTGGGTTTGGGAGCTGGAGACCTGAGTGACGCCGCGGGGCTGTGCTGAAAGCTCCCCCAGCCAGCTGTGGCCAGATGCGTTCCTCCCTTCCAAGGACCAAAACCTCGGTGCAGATGTGGGCTGGTCCTGCCCGGTTCTGCACGGCCCAGTCACACCCCAGGGCCGGGCATTACCTGCAGGGCGGTGCCAGGCTCTGGCAGTGCCAGCAGCCGCTTCTCCAGGGCGTCCAGCCACGTCCGCAGGGCGAGCAGCTGCTCCTGCAGCTCCAATCTCTGCTCGGAGCGCAGGCGGGCCCTGGGGAGGGAGCAGAGACACGAGGGGTGTGGGGGACACGGTCACTGTCCCCCCC